CCCCAAAACCCCAAAACCCCAAAACCCCATTAAGTCAATTTAGTGTGAATTAAGGTTAACTAAATCATAGGAACATAAATTAATTGAAAATTCTTTATTCTCTATCTATGTATGTATTTTTAAGGATGCATAGAAGCTAGACTACAGTTCTTAGTATAGTCACTCTACTTATTTTTCATTTAGGAGAGGGCAATAGGTTTGCTTTGAATAGGGTTTATCCTGCTTTGAATATCATATTATCATAAATCTTAAATAGCTCGTCCACAAACAACCAAGTTCCATTAGTACTCAGCTTTGCTCCATCACCATCTGTCAACTGCCAGTGTCCGTCTAAGAACTGAATACTAAAATATTATAAGATATTTTTTAATACCTGCATTGCAATCTTGATAAAGAGTTATCTTCAAATTTAATGTCACAATTCGTCATTCTGCCTATTCTTATTATTCCCGAATTTTCTGAAAATGTAAAAGTCTAATCAGTTTTAGGCCCATCCAGGAACTTAAACTGAATCTTGGAGCTTTTGTCATTCTTAACATCGCAAAATTAGACTACCATGTGAGAATCACCAAAAGAGATTATGTAACCATGTTTCAAAATCTAAAAGAAATTGGAGGGTATTAATTTTACTAGGGGGACATCAAGCCTAACAAATGTTCCTGAACCATCTCCTAAGTCTCGCAAGTAGTAAGCCTTGTAATCCAGGTTATATTTTATGATCAAATGGCGTTTACCAATTCCGATGTCAGTAGAAGGTATCACAAAATCATTGTAATGCTCACCATTTTTACCTGCTTCTTATGATCCTATTATTGTACATCCATCACTTTTATTTCTTTTTGAAGCTATCAAACCACAAGCGTTAATCTTTAATATCGTATTTTTATCAACAGCAAGACCTTCTACAACCTGTAATGTTGAATTCTGTTAATTTTGATACCATAATTTAAAGCAGAGGAGCTTTCCTTATCTCTTCCTTTGGCACAATAAATCCAGCTTGAGGAATATCCAGCATCGGATGTCCTATCTAAATTTACAGTTAAAATAATCAGCTCTTTAATTGGCTTACATCATTATTGTTATTGTCACTGTTTAAAACATGACCGTTTGCTTGATTTCCATTGTTGGTGCCAGAATTTTAATTGGTTTTTCTTTCATGGAAACCCTAAAAGTCTTATTGTCTATAAGATACATTGATGTTAGTAATAATGTCACTTTACTTGTCTGCTCTGTTATCAGAACAACAGCACGCTGCTTACCCCATTTTAGAATTATTATTTTTCAAATTAACTTCCCTAATTTTATTAACAAACACTCATTCATAAAAAAGTCTCCGGGGTTTTGGGGTTTTGGGG